ATACTTTTAAAAAATATAGACTGTAAATATGATTAGTATTATTATTTTGTAATTAATAAAAGGATGTAACATTAATATTTTTCCCTATTATATCAACTAATATTAATAGATTGTATCACTTATTTTAGAATTTTAAAAATGTTTTATTTATATTTTTTTAAAATATAGTGTGTACTTATTTATTTTTATATTATAAATAAATAATGAATAAATAAAGATTGTAAGATTATTAATAAATATTTACCAATTTAATATTTTAATATAAGGAAGTAAATAACTATTATATTTTTTACATAAAATTATTTACTTTTTAAAAAAGTGCGTAATAATGAATTTATACAATTAAATTAATTTTTAAACTTACAGATAGTATAAATTTTAAAAACTATTTAACTAATATATTAAATTAATGAGTTTATTATTAATATTTAATTTTTATAAATAAGAGCGTAACTATTTCAAATAATTTAAATTATCTATTCTTATTAAAATTAAGCTAGTATAGTTTTTATAATATTAAAATATTTACACATTAATTTTTATATAGTTAGTAATAACAAAAACTCTCTTAAAATTTAATTTTAATATTCTTACTATTTATAGTTAGTATGACAAAATATAATTCATTTATTTAAAATGATTTAATAAATTTATTTTGATTTAGTCAGTAAATTATGATTTTAATAACTACTATAAAATATAATAAGGGGGTCAGATTATTATTTAATTATTTAACTAATTATTTATTTAATATAGACAGTAAATTATAAAAAAAAAAAAATATTTTTTATTTTTAAAAGTATGTAATTATTAAATAAATTACAATTTTTAATTATGAAATAGTTAGTAAGAATATTTTTTAATTAATTCTTATATAATATAATATATTTTTATATAAGGGAGTATGAAAATTCATATATATTTTTTTTTAATTTTTTTAATTTTAGGATGTAACTTTTGCAATATATTTTTTATATTACATTTTTATTACTATTAAATATTAAAAAAAATAGTTAGTAAATAAATTAGTTTATCAAAAATAATTTAATGTATTTAATTTTAGAATGTAGTTTAAATTTTATTTTATTTATTTAAATTTACCTAATCTAAATTAATTAGGAATATGTAAAAATTCTCAGAATATATATGAATTGTTGCTTATATATTTTAATTTTATAAGATAGTAAGATATATTAAATCTTTTTTTATTTTTAATTTTTTTATAGTGCGTTGAAATTAATATTTATTAATAATTTTTTAATTTTAATTTTATTTAAATTAAAGAATGTAATATTTATAATTATTGTATTATTAATTATAATAAAAATAGAGCGTATTAATTTTTTTTAATTTTATTAATTAAATAAAATTAGAAAGTATTATTTTCTTTAAAATTAACTATTTTTTATTTTTTTAATAAAGGATGTAGATTTTTTGGATTAATAGTTTTTTAATAAAAATTATTTTAAATAGATAGTATTTTTATATTTGATTTTTTTTATAAATTATTAAATTTTAGTTTGAAAAAGATGTAAACTATCTATATTGTTTTATTAATTTAAATTATTGATTCTAAGGAAATTAAAGTTAATTTTTTTTATCAAAATATGATAATGAAATTAAAAAAGCCTATATTAATTTTTATATTTATATTTATTTTATTTTAATTAAATTATTTTATTTTTAAATAGTTTGTAAAATAAACATAAGATTTTATTAAAGAAATTAAAAATAGACCGTAAAATGATTATACATATACTAATTTAAATAAATATATATCCTTAATAATAAAGAGCAAAGTAAGCACCTCCCCAAAATTAATTTAAAAAAAAATAGAATGTAATTGTTAAATTTATATCTTTTATTAATTAAATTTATTAAAAAATTTAGTGTGTAAAAATTTTAATAAATTAATTTCTAAATTAATTATAGGAATGCGTAAATTTTTAATATTTTATTTATTTTTTAATGAGTTAAAACAAAAAGAAAGTATCATTATATTTTTTAAAGTTTTATTTCATTTTTTTTATTTATTTAAAATAGAATGTTAATTTAATAATTAATTTTTAATGATTAATTTATAATTGTTTTAACTAAAAAAAGAATCAATTTAAAAATTAGGTATTTATATATAATATTATTTTAAATTTATAATTTATATATATTTTATTTTAATTAATATATACAAATATATATAAATTAAAAGATATTAATATTATATTACATTATATTAAAAAAAATATTATATTATTTTTTATAAATATAATTTTAATATTAAATAGATATTTGTAATAAATTTTTATTATTTTTCGTATTATATAAACTTAATATAGGAAGTAATATTCTATATTTTTACTTTTTAAATAATAAAAAACATTTACAATAAAAAAAGAAAGTACAATTTTAAATATTAAACTTTTATTAGATTTTTTTAAATTAGAAAGTTAAATATTAATATTATAATTTGATATTTATCATAATAATTATAAAGGAAGTAAATAAATATTTAATTTATATAATTGTTTTATTACTGAAGATTGAATATGTATATTATAATCATTTTTTATATTTTATTTTAAATTTAATAATAATAGATGAATTAAGTAATTAACATTAATTACAAATTCATTTCTGTATTTTTTAAATGATATAGATAGTAAATATTAAAAATTTTAAATTTTTATTATATTTATAAATAATATTTAGTGCGTATAAATTTATTATATCAAGTGTATATAATTTTTTTGATTTAATAAGGAAGTAAGAATTATTTATTAATAATTTTATAATAAACTTATTTTATATATTATAGGATGTATAAAATATTAAATCAAATTTATAATTATCAAATTAAAAGTCTGTAATTTCTCTTTATTCAATATAAATATGTGCATTAAAATCAAAAAAAGAGAGTTATACTTTATTTTCTATTTCTATTAATTTAAAATAGAATGTAATATTATTTTATACATAAATATTTTTTTTTATTTGTAATATAATTTAGTATGTATTTTTTAGTTATCATATTTTTCTTATATGTATAAAATGAAATAAGTGTGTAAAATTATTTGATAATATAAATTCTTTTGAAAATATTTTAAAAAGGAATTAGTAATTTATAAAATATATTTAATAAAATAAAAAATATTAAATGATAAAATTATCTTAAAAAAAAAATATATTTTTCTATTATTTTTAATTTTATTATATAATAACAAATATTTTAAAAATATTATTTAAAAGTAATTTTAGGTATAATAATAAATTTTAATATGAAAAATTTATTAATAAAGGTAAAAATAAAAAATTAATAAAAAAAAAAAAAATTATATTATTATTATAATTAAATTTATAAACTATATTAAGATTGAAAATAAAGAGTAATTATTTAAGAATATTATAATAATAAAAATATTTAAAATATTAAAAAGATGATATAAGAAAGATCAAAAGAAAAATAATATATATATAAATATAAATATATATATTTATTTATATATTTATAAATATATATATAAATATAAATATAAATATAAATAAAACTAAAAACTAAAAATAAAACATGAAAAACTATTTTTATTGTTGTTAATAATATTAATATAATAATCACAATCATAATAAATATAATCACAATAACAATTATAATAACAATCATAATAATAAACTGGATAATAATAAACTGAATAATAAACTGGATAATAATAAACAGAATAATAAACTGGATAATAATAAACTGAATAATAAACTGGATAATAATAAACTGAATAATAAAATTGATAATAATAAACAGAATAATAAACTGGATAATAATAAATAGAATAATAAACTGGATAATAATAAAATTGATAATAATAAACCGAATAATAAACTGGATAATAATAAACAGAATAATAAAATGGATAATAATAAACTGAATAATAATAGCAATCATAATAACAATAAGAATAATTGACAGAATCAGAACAATAGCCAGAATAATATTCATATTCATAATAAAAAGAAGATAAAAATAAAAAATGTTTATGTTAAAAATAATTAAAATATATGACTGATCCATTAGAAATAGACGAAAATGCATCTGTGTATTTAAAAGATACGTTATTTGTATTGTAATTTTCTTATTAAACTGATGATAAAGTAGCATCAGAAGCTCTCAAAAAAATAATGAGGTCGTTAATAAAGTATTAGAAGAATTAAAAAAAGATGATAAATTAACTATTACTACTAGTGGCTTTTCTATTGAAAATAATTATAAAAATGTAGAAAACACTACTACTAAAAAATTAGAGAGATAAAAATTAGGATATAAAGTTAAAAATTAGATTTAAGTAAAATCTTCTGAATTAGAAAAGGCTGAAGAAGTGATTTAAACTGCTATTGAAAATGGATTTAATACTGTTGATTTTGTTAAATACTACCCTGATAATGAACAAATATAAAAAGCTTATAATGATCTAATAGTTGAAGCAGTTAAAGATGCTTAAAAAAAGGCAGAAATAATTTTAAAAGGTGTCTAATATAGCGTTGACAGTATAAAAGTTCTTCTATTAATTATCAAGTAATATAATAATAGAAAATTATTTAATTTGTTAAAGTAGTATTTAATATTAAATAAAATCCTATTGAAAACTAAGAAGAATTAAAAATTAAATATTATTTTTTTAAATGAAAAAAATCTTAATTTATTTTTATCATTAAAATTTTTTTTTTTATTAAATTAGTGATATTTTTTTATTTTATATTTAAATTGATTAGTTTATAACATTTATTGATTTTTTGTTTTATTAGAAAATTAAAAAATTATATATTAAATATAAAAAAGAAAAATCAATATTTGTAGAAAAAAAATATAAAATTATTTAACAGAAAAATATATATATTTTTTTTTAAATTAAATTTTTGATATAAAAATAAATAATGTTTAAATAATAATATAATAAATATGAAATTAAAAATTGAATTAAATAAAAATAAATATTATATTATATTATTAATCTTTATCTATATAAGATATATTAAAATTATATTTTATTATTAATCTTGATCTATATAAGATATATTAAAATTATATTGTATAAAATTAGTTTTTAAATATATTTCAATATTAATAAAATATTTTTTTTATAAACACTATTCTGCTTATATTTGTTATATAAAATATATATAAATTTTTTATTTTTAGATTTATTCTAAAAAATTAAAATTTGTTTATATTTTTGAAATAAAAATATTCGAAATATAAATAATATAAAAATAGCATATAAATATAAATAAAAAACTAAACGATTATTATTTTAATAGATTATATTTTATTTTTTACATTTTTTCTTTATAATTAATTTTCTATTATATATATTATATAGAAATAAATATATAAAAATATTTAATAATATATATTTTTATTACATAATAATTTATTATTATGTAATAAATTGTTTTTTAAAAATATATAAATAATAAAAAAACACAATTTTTTTATAGTATTTATTTATTAATTTTTGTTTTTATTTTTCTATGATATTTTTGTCTTTATATTTTATAAATTTGTGATAATATTTTAGTTTATATTTGAGATTAATTTTATATCTATTATTAGTATATATTATAAAATTCACAATTTATTTTAATTTTTGAAACAAAAATTATAGAAAATAACATTTAAAAAGTAAGATAATAAAATATCTATATAAATTATTTATAAATAAAAATAAACTAAATAATTTAAAAAAGTTATAATAATAATTATATAAAAATGAAAGTTCTATCATTATTGTTCTTAATAATATTAATATAATAATCATAATAATAAAGTGAAACAAATTATTAATGTGAATGTTAATCATACTTATATAATCTATCTGATCCTTCAAATGTTTAAGGAACGGCATCTACATCTTTAAGTGATAGTTAATTTAAAATATAAGTTTCTTATAAAAATACGGATAAAGATGTTTAAGCTGCTCTTAAAAAAAATAAAGAAGTTGTCAAAAAAGTATTAGATATTTATAAAAAAGATGGACAATTAAGTGTTTCTTCTACTGGTTTTAATATTGATTCTGATAATTATGATTTTAAAATGAATGAAGAGACTGAAAAAAATGAAAGAGTTTTTGAAGGATATAAAGTTAAAAATTCGATTTTAATAAAATCTTCTAATTCATAAAAGGCTGGAAAGGTGATTGATGATGCTATTAATAATGAATTTAATTCCGTTGATTTTGTTAATTTTTATCCTGATGATGAATAAATGCAATAGGCTAGAGAAAAATTACTATACGAAGCAGTTTAGGATGCCAGAAAAAAATTAAATTTACTTATAAAAAATCTCGGATAAGAAGTTATTGGTGTAAAAAGAATTTATGATATTTATGAAGATATAAATAGTCCTAATAGTAATAGTATGACTTATGCATTGGGTGGTGATACTAGTATATAATTAAACAAATCTAAAAAAACTATGACTATTAAGGTTAGAGTTTAATTTTTTACTTAACCAATTAGTGAAAATTAGTGAAGTTATTAAATGAGGAAAAATTTAATTATAATTTTTTTTATAAAAAATCTTTAATTTTTTTATAAAATAAATTATTTTAATATTATATTTAATATGTGATTTTTTTTATTTCTCATTATTAAATATATAATAATAATTAGTTTTATTTTTTTATATAGTTTTTACATTTGTATATGTAATATTTCTATTTGTTATTGAATAGCATTTTATATTATATATTTATATTTTGTATGCTATAATAAATAATAAGTAAAAGACTTTAAAATTAAAATAATATGATGTTTTAATTTTTATTTATAATTTATATACATATATATTCTTTTAGAAAAATAAATTTTTGTCCTTTAAAATTTTAATAAAATTAATATTGAATGTTATTATTTCAAATTTATTTTAATTTTTAATAAAATAAAAGCAGAAGCTATCTTAACAGATAAGTGAAGAAATTTTTAGGAATATTTCGGAAAAATATTATAAAATAAAAGACAATTTCAGCAAAATTTCATAAAATAAATAAATAACGATTCGAGAATATTTGAAAAAAAAAATTTAATAATTATAAAATATAATAAATTGATTATATATGTTTTTTAATAAAAAATATATTTATTTTGTGAAAATAATGAATATAAAAAATATATGAATTATTTTTTTGAAAAATATTTATAAAATAAAATACAAAATCCAAAATAAAATAATTTTGAAGATAATAAATACAATTAGCAAATTAATTTAAAATTATAAAGATTATTAATATTTTATGGGTATTAACTTAATCTAAGATACATATAGAATTTATGATAATTATTTATTAAAACTTTAAAAAATATATTAAAAATATAAATTCAATATAGACAAAATATAGGTAAAAAGACATTATTTAATTAAAATATTCTATATAAGTAAATATTATACTGAAGTTTTTAATAGTTAATAGTAATAAACTATTATAATTAACAGAAGATATAATATAAAAATTAATAGACATAGACATACTATTTTAGATAAGAATAAATTTGATAAATTAATAAAATTTAATATTATAAAATGTTAAAATAATTTGTGAAATTTATGAAATACCATTTATATATAATAAATTTAAAAAAAAGATATTAAGATAAAAATATTTATATAATAAATATATATTATAATAAAAAATTATAAAAGAATTAAAAATAAAAAAATATAATTAATTAATAATTATAATTAACATAAAAAAATATTTAAAAACTAAGTAAAGTAATATAAAAAAAATAAAAGATAATTAAAGAAAAAAATATAAAATATATATTATGTAAAAAAATTTTTCATAAATATCAAAATTTTTAAAATAAAAAATAATAATAATTATGAAAAATAAAAATCATGAAATAAAAAATAAAAACAATAATAATTATATTAATAATAATAATAAAAATAATAAATATAATAATAATAATAATAATAATGATAATAATGATAATAATAATAATAATAATAATAATAATAATAATTATATTTTTAAATTATTTTAAACATAAATAATTAATATATTATTATAAAAATAAATAATAATAATTAATTTACTATTATATTTTTAGTATTAATTTTTTTATATATATTAATTTTAAACAATTAATTTTATTTTAATTTATATATAAAAATGATTATTTTATATATTTTTAATATTATTTTAAAATTTTTCTTATACAAAATATATAATTTAATGCCAATTAAACTATATATTATATTAATAATATTTATATTTTATTTACTTATATTAATTATTTATATTTATTATTAATAAATATAATATTTAATTTAATAATATATAAAATTTTTAAGTATAAAAATAAACTATATATATAATTTATTTAATATATTAATTATTATATAAAATTATCTAGAAAATAAAATAAATAAATAATGTAGATTATTTAAGTTATACTAAGTTAATTTAATTATTTTTAAATGATTCTAATATTAAACAAAAATATTGTTTAAATTTTTTTTTTTGTATAATTAAAGTTAATATATTTGCTTCTTATTTTTTAAGAACTAAAACGTTATTAAAATAAGATAACTATATAATTTTAATTTATAAATATATAATTTATTTTTACGAAATTTTTTAATATACTATTTTTTTTGTTTTATAATAATATTTATTATATTTATATATAATCATATATAAATAAAAATATAAGATATATTTAAATAATTTTGTTTGATAAATATATATGTTTTTTCCATATGACTTATAATTAAAATTAAAAAAATATTTATTTAAAGAAATAAACTTATATCAAGCATTTAATTAAATTAAAAAATTAAAGATATTTTATTTTTTTCGATGCTATAACAGATATAATAATATAAGAATATTTAAATAATATATATATATATAATATTTTATAATCAATATTTATTTTTAATAATTTTTAAATTAAAAATTGTATATATTTATATTTGAAAATCAAATTTTGTCTTTCAGTATATTTAAAGACAAATTTTAACTTTATAAAAAATTAATAAGAAAAAAAACTTGTTAAAAAAAAATAACTTTAATATTTAAATTATTATAAAACAGTGAAGTAAAAATTTTAAGAAGAAGAAAAATTAAAAATTAATTATTAAAAGAATTTGAAAAATTTAAATTATTTAAAAAAAAATATATGTTTTTTTTAAAAAAATTAAATTGCTTATCATTTATATATAGATATTATAAAAAACCTTATTTTGGTTTAATAATAAATAATATGTATTAAGAGTAAGTATGTAATATTTCAAGATAATATTTATTTGTTTGTTTATTTACAGTATTTTATTTCCAAAAATTAATTACACTATTCAAAAATAGATAGAATAATAATATTTATTTAAATAAATAGAATAATAATATTTATATTCCAATAATAAAATAATTATTAAACATAAGACAATAATTGATAGCTTATATTTTCGTAGATAATCCATTGATTATTTAAATTTGCTTAATATTTTAAATTTTATACAATAAAAATAATAATTATTGTTTATATTTTACTTTTTATTATTGCCTTGTTTTAAGTAAAGAACATTATAGAATAATTTTAAATTTAGTGTAAAATATTAATATTTATTATTGTCTTTTAATATTATGTATATAATCATACTGCTTAAAACGTCTATTCATAATAAAATATATTTATATAAAGTTAATAATTTATTTTATTTTAATTTTATAATTAATAATTAATAATTTTAAATATAAATATTAAAATATTTATAATAACGGTTAAGTATATAATATTAAGGTTTGAAATTATAAAATTAAGACCCAATTTGTTTAATTATTATTCTATTTATTTCATTAGTATATATTAGGTTAAAAAATATTTATAAAAATGGTTTTATAAATTAAATTTTGATTTTTAACATTTTTTTATTTATTTTTTCTGTTTTTATTTATAAAAAAAAATGAATCAAAATCAAAAAATAAACTTATTGATCTTTTATGTATCAAAAAAATTTATCAACAAAAAAATATTCGGATTTAAAAACCGAATAAAATTAAATAAAAATATTAAAATTAATTAACATGAAAAAAACAAAATAAAAATCAATTATTTTTATATAAAATAGTAATCTATAGAACTTTAAAATTTATTTAAATGAAAAATATAAAAATGAGTTATAATGGATAAGATATTTTAAAATAAAAAATGTTAATTGTTAATAGTAAAATAAATGCGCGGATTTAATAATAAAGAATAATAAATGTTTAAAAAATTAATAAATTAAAGATATGCGAATAAAAAAACATATAAATATAAAATAAAATATTCAATAACTCATAACTTGAAAATTAATTTTAATGAATTCATTTTATATTATAAACGTGTTTTTTAAAATAAGATTGTTAAAAATATTGATAATAATAATTATGAATATTCAATAGGATTTTTTAAAAAATAGTGAATATTTTTGTTTTGCCTATATTTAAATAATTAAATAAAAAAAAATTATTAGATGTTATTGAAATCTAAAATTAGATTCTTTTTTATGAAAATTAAACTTTTAAAAATTAAATTATTAAAAAATCTTTTTATAAATAAAAATAATTAGTAGAATTAAAGAATATAATCAAAGGTTTAAATAATAATAATTAAAACTTAATTTAAAAAATAAATAAAAAAAATATAAAAGAATCAGTAAAGATTTAAATATTATATACAATAATTATTGAAAGGTAAAAAGTTATTATAAAAAAAAAAAAAA